AAGCCTAATCAGGACTAGAGAATGATTAGAGAGCAAGCTCGCGAGGGAGACGCAGAATGCGTCGCGGGACGCGAGCTTCGTCTTCCATCCGCCAATCCCGTTGAGTCAAAGGCATTATAAAGACCAGATTACCACAAATTCTGAGAAGAACTGGCTTGAAACCAGATTTCACTCTTCCGGATTTGTTTCGCCGAGCTATTGAAGGTACTCTGGTTTTAAAAATGTGAAATTACCTGATTTTGCTGGATATCTGGTGTGATTTCTTGATTTTCATTGGTTTCTTCCCAAAAATTTTTTTGAGGGTATAGTTCGCCACATTCCTTCTCTAGAATAGAATACGAGGTTATACGCCCCAAATCTCGGAAAGCAGCCCAACGCACTTTTTCAAGAGCAATCTTCTTTTTAAAAAAATTTCTGTTGCTTCTGCTCTCCCGAAAAAAATTCTACTATTACCTAACAAACGACTAATCGATTCCAAGCTAATTTTACCACAGCTACAATTACGAGGTTACACTCAACGCACCAATTTATAAGAAAATTTATTTCTCACAGCTGTTGCTCAAGAGTATTCGAAACAATAAAGAGCTGAAGTGATCAAACGAGATTTATGTGAAGATGTCAACTCAGTGCTTGCAAATCCCATCACTTGTCTAAACTTCTCCACTGCTGCTTGAGAGGATCGTTTTTTCAAGGAACGGCAGCTATGCGCCGCTGGAAACATCTTCCCTTTATCTATTTACACTTTCTTAATTTTCTGATTCCTTAGGATAGCTCATAACGATCATCTACTCTTCTATATCACTGCAAATCTTCATAAATGCAGAACTTTCCGGTTTTTTTGCTTTGTTTCATTCAGAAATTTTGCTCAAAGCGGTGTCTTTTAGTGATTCTAATTTGTTGGTGTTGTCAGTTATCATTTTTTTCTGCCCTATTTATCCTATTTTCCTTTTTGTCATCTGTTATTACTCTTTACTTATGACTCATTGATTAATTTGGTGAGAGACGAGTAGAAATCGAAAAAATACAAAATTATAGTGAAAATCAAATCAAAGCGGAGACGTTCTTACGTTTCACATATGTGCTAACTGGTCTTTAAAAAAAAATTCTTTTTCGTAATTTTTCCCATGCAAATTTTTTCTGAGGAAAAATTTCTTTTTTCGGCATGTTACACAAAATATTAGGTTGGAAACTAACTTTTGCAACTCATTCATTTAATTTTCCTCTTACTCAACATGGCGCACTCAAATTTTGCCACTGTGCTGGTTATGACATAAGCTACAAGCGCAGCTGCTGTTGTGCCAAATTCTGACGTCGCAGTGAGGGTTACAGTAGGTATACGGTATTTAGGGAAAAATTATAAAATTCGACAGATTTGGCTGAAACTCTTGGCATAGGGGGGTTATCCAACATGTTGATCACGAAAACGAAACTGAAGTTGCGTGATAGGGACTTTTTTGTAAGATTACTGTAGGTATACGGTATAGGGTCCCATCCTAAACGAGAAAAGAAGCGCTGATTCAACAAATGAATAAGATATTCTTGTTTAGCAGGTCAAAAAACCTCAATATGTAAAGGCTCGGGGAATTCCGAGTTTGTGAGTCCTTAGCCATTGACGGTTGTCCCCAGCAGCCTTGCGTACACCAACTCTTTGGAAATTGTGAGGGCGCCAAATCTCGTCTTGCCCCTAAATTTTATTTCTTGTTTGGTGAACCGAATAAGTCAACCTCTAACAATAACTAGTACACGATTAAGGATTATTGCGCGTGGTCTAGACTGCTAACGACTTCCTTTTGCCTTAAAATCCCAATATTCTTAAAATTCACTAGTTTTCGAAAATGTCTGGAATTTTTCTAAGTCGCTGCCAAAATTCAAACAGTTTTGGTTAATTATAGCTCACAATACACTTTACATACTGCCCAGGTTTGAATACGGCACACCACGGTGACTTGAGTTATGAAAGTAGTAGCAAAATTTAGTTTCGACTAATAATTCACTAGCAACTTTTCTATGTTAGGGTTAAAATTAGCGTTTAGCCGGATTTGAGCGTGAGTCTCACAGTTTGAAAAAGATCAGAGGGCCTAACGTTTGTTTCTACCAACCGGTCGATGATATGCTTACTATGATTTGAATTTCTCGTTTTCGTATTTATATTGAGCTTCCAAGATTTTCGAAACTTTCTTGACTGCTCGACTTTTTCAGTGTTTACGTCGAAAATTCTCGAAAGCAGGCGCAAGTTGCTTAACCGTCTTGCCTTTTCATGTAAAATATGGCGCAGCTTCAGACTTCACATAGTAAAGCAATAACCATGAAACATTTAAAAAAGCTTGAGATATTCGCAGCCTGTTGCACGATTTTTCAGAGAAGCATAAGCGGAAAGTTTCTGAATACAAAAAAGATCCCTAAAGACGTTTCTGTTGCATACGTAGGGAATGAATAATTTCAGAAAAGAATTCTTATAAATACGTAATGCTTTAAAAAACGATCCTTACTTCGTGAAGTTATCCGCTAGCAAGAATTGATTCGGAAGACTAACATTCTCTTGCTTTTGAAAGATTTTTTGAAAAAGTAAATAAAACGCTTCAAGGGCCGGACATACTTCACGCGATTTGAGTCGCCACACGATTTGGCAATTCGCCAGAAGTCTTCAGATCCAACTCAGCAAATTAGGCACAGTGTGTATAACTTACTGGATTGATAGAATGCCCTATCTTCTGTACATTGAAAATGTGCTCATAATGTGTGTCATGGACAGCTGGAATATTGCCAAATCGCGTCGCGACTCAAATCGCGTGAAGTATGCCCGGCCCTTTAGACACAAAAATGCGGTCAAAATCTAGTCAATGGTTGCTCGATAAATTCCAATTCTTAACACATTTTATATACTTTACTGGGCTTTTTTTCCTCAGTATTATCCACCCAAGTGCCGTTTTTGCACTTGCGTAATTTCGGAAAGTATCCCGATCGTTTCACATCACCAAAAAACCCTTAGTTATTCAAAAGTTTCCCAAAATTTGATCAGATCAAGTTTTATTGAAATTTTTGCCATATCATATTTGCAATAATCCCAGTATTTCATGGCTTCAGAAGATGAGATTTTATCTTGATGTTTTACATATCAAGGATTCGATTGGGTTCCTCTAACCTAGCACGATTTCTATGCTTGCGTACCATCGACGAGATCACCTTGTCAAAATCTAAAATATTCGGAAATATTTCTGGAATTAACTCAAAGACTTGAGGTGTCAGTAGTATAACCGTGCACATTCACGTGATAGCAGCAGTTTTAGAGTGTTATTTCTTTCGACAAGTGTTGGAAATCAGCTGTTACCAATAAATTGAATGTTCGCGTTAGGGTATTTTGCAAATGGCTTGAGAAAAATTTTAAAACAGTGTCTCAAATGAAAAACTTGAATCCTTGCTTCACAAGTTTCATCATCTTATAATCAATGTTTCCTCGTCGTCAAGTTGAACGGATCAGCTGCTTGTGATAGTTTCGTACAAGTTCGTGAATCTGTGATTTATGAATATTTTTCAGTATACACAACCTCAAAGATTGAATGTATAAGTCCTTTCTTGTAAAACACAATTCATCAGTCATAAGCGCAGAAGATAATTCAAAATACGGGGAATCTCTCCAGGGAACCTAATCTATTCATTGATTATAAATACATTTTGTGTATCCTTGATAATACGATTTATTAATTTGTATTCGTCACCAGGTAACGAAATTAGAAAATCTATTTTTTCACAAGCCCTGGTCAACATGTCGCCTGGCAGGTGATGGATCGAGCGCCAGCTTATCAACCCACTGTCGCCTTCGTCGCCCTTGAGCCGCAGCAACGTGCACGTGTTCCAAACATTCATTTTCATCATTACATGATCGCTATAGTTTTTTCAAATGGGTGAGGGGGGAGAGGAGCGGGAGGGGAGCGAACATAGAGACGAGATTTGCAATAAAATACACCCATAGTCAGGTGCCTTGTAAACATCCGAAAGGAATTTCTTTGAAGTGAATTGCATCAGAAGTGCTTTGATTTTCTTTGAATCCGATAAGTAAGTGAATACCTAAACAAATAAATAATATACTGGACTTGATAAACGTATACTTCTTTGCTCCGCTGAAATTACTCATTTTTTAAAATTTTGACCACTCAAATATTATAATTTCTCCTCTGACTCTCGAAAACTTTCAAAATCCTTTTTTCTCAACAAAATCCTGAGAATATTAGAAATTCTCTTCCTTTAAAATTTTTCCAACTTGATGAATTTTGATTGCTTTTTTGTGTTCCCAAGAAAAAATACATTCTAGATGTTACTTTCTTCATCAGAGTCACCTTACCTAGAGTGCTCATTTCTTCTTGCTTCCTCACTTTTTTCTATCCAATATTCACTTCCCAAAAACTCCTTTACATCGCTCAGATTTACGCACAACCACATTGTTTCTCATATTTTTGGTTCGTAGCTGTATTTTCCTTTTGTTCGTGAGGATTTCTGATGTAAAACTGATGACAAAAAACCTCGCCTTATTGCAACTTTGCTAGTGATGTGTTGTTTGTAAATGAATATGTAAATTGGGCGGATCTTGACACAGGGGCGGTACTTTCCACGAAGATGCTGAGCTTCGATCTAGCACTATCTTCTCCTTCTCTAGTAAGAATGATCAGGATATTCAAGACCAAATAATAATATCAATAGTAATAGATAATGTTCATAATTATAAAATTTTAACCTAAGAACTCCGTTTCGTTCCTATCCTTAGACGGAGTATTGTCTTGTTTCTAGGCCATCCCCGGATCTTCAGTAAAAAGGGATGGCGAAATTCAAAAATAACTCAATTCTAAGCAATTCTTGAAAGGTCTTTGGAAAAAATCGTATTCAAGATCTGCTCCCCTAACTTTTTATTTGTATGCGTCACTCTTCTACTTTTCACTACGTTATTCTTATATATGCAAAATAGAATACTTGCGGATACTATATTTTTTCTAAAAAAAGATTTTCAGATGTCCGTGACATCCTTTCTTCGGCGGATGTCCGTCGATTCGGGGTCGCCAAAGCCGAGCAGATCAAGCCGCGAGTCGCGCGACTCGCGCGATTCCCATGAATCCCGCGATTCGCCACGAACGGCGACATCGCGTCGCAGTCGCCTCGTCGCCAGTATCGACTCGGCTCGACGACGATTTTCTTTACAACATTGTAATGACGTTTATCATCACTTGCAAGCTGTGGCGATGATGACGCACAGCTCTCAACGACCTGACGTCGGAAGCTTACCGGATTTACAGGAAGTGAGCTATTTCAGAGTTTTGGATGGATAAAATCAATGAATAATCGTTAACCATTTTTCTTGATTTTCGGTTTTTTGTTTACTGGTACTAAATATGTTATTCGAAATATATATCCGGGCAATCCATCCACTTGCTTATCGAATCGCATCTACTCCCACACAATATCGAATTCGTCGGCGCTAATCGGGCATTTGCGCAAACTCCTTGCCGTATAAGTAGCTTTGCAAGTTGAAGTGGGAGGATGGAGTAAAGAAGATTGGAATAGGTGTAAGAAGGTTGGGAAAGGAGTAGTTTGAGGGGCGAATGAGACTTTCAGGGAAGTACAAAAGGCCGGCCTGCATAGTGAACTGATAGATTTGGCAAGTGAAATTACACTATAGCAATTTTTACAAGATATTATGTAATTTGTGCAAGAAGGCCCGCTGCTGATAAATTTGTTTACGGAACAAATGCTTCACGGTAGTCCTTAACAATCATACGTACATAACTATATGTGCTTGTGGAATTTCGAGCTAAAAAATATAGGTTAAGTAATGCGAATGTCGGCGAATTTTACGAAATGAAGGTCAATGAATTTTTTTTTTGCGGTGAAGTTTTCACAGTTTTCAAATCGGCTACTTTGAATGCATAGCAGCAATGTGGAGTTTCTTTCTACCATTCATCCAGTTTCATTTTTAGTTGATTGATTCAAGGTGACTGTAGAATATACAACCTTGGCGCTGCCCTTTTGATGTGAATAACCAAAAAATTCAGAAATTTTGCGCAGTGTTTTGAATAAGTTTTTATCAAAAATAATTTCCGTACTGAAAATAGCCCACGTGCTCTTGTATTTTTTGCCGCAAATAAGCGACCATTGGTATCGAAAATTGCTCTAATATGCCTCAATCGTCCATTTTGCTTGTGAGGCTTTGTTTCGCCTCATATACCGATCCTTTGAAAGTGATTAATTGCGAATACCTTCAAATCGCTTGGTTGGTATTCTAGACAAGATTATTTGCTCTTGAATTTTCAGTCATTTGCGTTTACTTTGTAGTTTATTCAGAGAATTTCTCAGTTTGTCATTGGTCGCCAATCTAGTAAGCAATAAAATTTTGCTGCAAGCTAAATCCAAGCCCTTCAATTTTCTGAGTATTTTGCTAAAAAATTGTTAGCTCTCATTTGCTACTCGCGCAAGTTAGTCAAGACTAGAAACATAGCAAAATATCAGGAAGTACAAGGTAACTTGTGAAATTTGTAGAAAGACAGGAAATGCCTTCTTTGCACCAATGATTTCAATCTATGGTTTGGCTCAATCGAGTTTTTCTATTTTTATAAGTCAGTAAGTGGAGAATAACAATTATTTTCTGGATGTTTCAAAGCTACTTGAGTGAATAGCCCGAGATAAATACTAGGTGAACTCCTTTCAAGTAAATTGAGCTGTTCTTGCTTTCCTAATAGACTTGAGTCATCATTCGATACAGCGTAGCCAGTTCTACAAAAAGACCCCCAAAAATCCAAATCCAGGCAAAATTTGGGCTCAAAAACCAAAATTTTCCAGCTAGCCTCGGATCTCCTTCCAAAAAATTCCTACAGATTTCCAACCTGGTCCTTATATAGTAGACACATAGTAGTACCCAAAAATATTTGGCTGGTTTTTTCCGGGGTTCAAAATTGAGTTTTCGGGTTTTTTGATGTAAAACTTGGTATTTTCAATTAAAGGAGCACTTACACGATTAAGGTTCAAAGTTATAATTAGTAAGGCGTGTAGTATACAAAGACATATGTGGGAGGGGCTGGGCGGAGTTTGCCATTTGTAAACAATTTTTTTCCAGGGCTCGGCAAAGGTGGCTTGCAAAGCAAGCTGGATATCGTTTTTGGGGGAAAAAGCAAGGGGGATATCGTTTTTGCGGAAGAGCATAACGCCGTCTTTCGATCTGCTGCCGGCACGCTGCCGGCATGCCGCCAGCAAATAAACAAAGGGTATGTTTACAGCGAAGTGAAGATGAAATGGCACCAAAATAGGTGTGTAGATAGGCAATGGGGAGTTGGGACTATGTATGAAAAATTATGAAAAAAAATATGCGAACTAAGGGCATGGCAAACTTTTTTCGGGGTTAGGTGGCTTTCAAGCCACCTGGATAGCCACCTGAGGTGGCTTAACGCAAACAAAGTCATATAATTCCTACTCTTCACATAATTTTTCAAAATTTTTTTACATAAAAGTAATCTACATCCAATATTCTACAAAACAGCGCTTGTACCTCCCCAAACCCTCTCCTCCCCGCCTAGTTATAGCCCTCCAAATTATCTGGATGGCAGAGGCAAAGGTGCTCCAAGCTCGCGGTGGTGCGAGGCGGACACAGCATGCCGCCAACCCGGAGAATACAAAGAATCACTAGTTCTTATTCCCTATTTACTGTCGGTTTTGTATTCTATTTCATTCTTTTTGTTTTCATGTTTGATTTGTTCCTTAGCGTGTCAAGGGGGATATCGTTTTGTGGCGAAGTCAAGGGGGACTTCGTTTTTTGCATTTTCAACTAGCCACCTCGTGCCGAGCCCTGTTTTTTTCTCGCTTTCAAGCTCGGGAAAAAGGAAAAGGCTTATTTGAGCACTACTATGTGACTGTATAATGAACTAGTTGGAAATCTGTTGGATTCATTGTCGCAAAAATCCAGTTTTCATGTGACAAAAATTTTTTTTGATGTTGGCTTCAAACTTTTGATGGAATGCGACTTAGGCGATCCTTGGTGGAAATTTGAGCTTGAGCTGCTTTATTGAATGATTTCCTTAGTTTATTAGGAAAACAAACTTGAATTATTTAAAAATGGAGTTACTTTTGGGACAACCTCATAATTTAAAATATGCTCTATCATCACAGTGACTACAGAATTTGGTCCATCCTATCTCGCTATTTTTTATTCTCTCAATCTTATATATAAAGCTGAATGTCTGTCTGTATGTCTGTCTGTATGTCTGTCTGTACGTATGTGCGGAATAGAAATTTTTATTTCTGAACCGATTTGGACCAAACTTGGCACACATATACTTCGGGGCAGGGAGCGTGTCATAGGCTACTTTTCGTTATCGATCGATATCGATTTTATCGATTTTTTGCAAAATTTGAGCTACGGGGCTGGGAGTTGGCACAGGGGGGTAATCGAGCATGCTGATTACGAATATAATAATGACAGGGCCGGGCGGAGCCGGGTTTGCCAGCTAGTAACCAATAAAAGAAGCAATTGACGACAAAACTGTGAAGCTAACCTAGATGACAGATTCTCGTTTGGGGGCTAGGGGCGCAGGAGCCGATTTGATAGTTCAACATATTTTGTTGCTGATTTCGGCCGATGTCTTTGGTATGCGGAAAAGAACCTAACTTGATTTTTGCACAACGATGACGATGACTTCGAACCTAACTTTTTATATTGAAAATTTTCTTTCTGCAAGCAGGAATTTCGAAGAAATGTCGCCGCTGTTTACTTTACTTTGCTTTCGTTGGCTTTTATTCCGTGCTTTTGAGGTCGTAACAAAATTCTCTACGAACAAATTCAATTTTAACCCAACTCTGAAGAGAATACATGGCACTTGCGGCTTCCAGAAGTGGTGTGATCTACTTCTATATCATACAGAACTTTCACTTTCCAGAATTTTTTTCCATTAAATGCCGCAAAGTAGTAGGTTACTCAATATAAATATAGTTAATGTTTGAATCAAAACTTTTTACTTTTTGTAACGAAATGAAATCGATAGCTACCTCACATCGAAATAACATTCCTAGTACTACAATATGCGATATCTTGTAAGATGGAATTTGTTCAATCAAATTTCTAAAAATGAAATTAAACTTGCCCGTGTTTGAATATGACTTTAACATAACCTAGAGGCTTTGAGCTGACACAATAGCTAAAATTTTCTACAACGATGGAGTCAAAGGTTTGCGTTTTGTTTCTGTGTTAATTATATAGCAACTTTATCAAACAAGATAACTCATCTGATCAATTTCTTCAAAAGCTACAAATCTCCTAATGAAGGTGAATAATACTTAGTTTTTTTTGTTATCATTAGGTCAGCTATAAGTAGCAAAATATGTGCCCATTGATTTAACTGGCTTGGCGGCTCAAAGGCGGGGCTTCGTGACCTAGTTAAGGCTAGGTAGTAAGAGAGCATGCGCACGAGAGAGACGCAGACTGCGTCGCGGGCGCGAGCGGTCATACTAGGGCCACAAAACCCCGCCTTCCAGGCCAAGCCAGTTGAATCAAAGGTTATGAGTGACTGCACTATCTTCAAGATTCAGCGAGAAAATTTTTGGGAATTCTATGTTGTTGTTGGTCTAGAATGCGATTGAAGACAAAATATGGTTTTCCAATAATACTTTGCTCTATTCTTACTTCATAATCTTTACGAAATGTTGGTTTTTTTCAGAAACCTCGATCTCCACAAACGAAGAGGGTCTCTGTTGTCGCAGGCGGTGACAGAATGATATACCTCCATAAAAATCGCAAAAATCAAGTCTCATCAAAAGTGAGTCATTTCCTTCTACTCTTATTCGTTTTCAATGTCTCAGTCAATGAGGCTCAATTATTAATTTATTGTTCACTGTAAGCAATGAATGAGATGTCTTCAATGGAGTTACAGTATATAGCTTATGTCTTTCTTTTTTAGCTGAATAGTTGCCGTCCTAATATTCTTCTGACAACAGTGTCTTTTCTACCATGTTTTGAACAGCACGTAACAGCATATCATTTTATTCTAGCTTATATAATAAGATAATTCCTTTTCAAAAAATCTCAACATAAATGGTTTTCCTGCAGTCATAGCTGGAAAAAAATTCTTTTGACTCAAACTCTACTTTGTTTTCAAACGTTCTGATGCTATTGTGAATATAAAACGATGGAAGCTCGTAGGCTTTGAAATTTGCTCCTAGACTCTATTTGCAAATCAGTGAAGGGCATACTGAGAATATGCAAATGGCTATTGACACCCCAGATGTATAATTATTTAAAGCTATTGTTCAACGTCCCTCACCCGATAAGCTTCATAACATTTGCACCACTCTTTTCATAGTTGTGCTCTTTCAACGTGGTACCTAATGTTATTGAGATTCAACTCCCATTCGACTTGCCCTCTGATCGCATAAGCTTCGTGTTCCGAAAATGTGACGTAATAACAGTAACAATTATTTCATTAACCATGCCTACTATCTCACTTCATCTTTTATCTACTTCATATAATAGAACTGGATTTGTTATGGGTTCGAGTTTGCACTTCCGCTTAAGGAAAGCGTTTAACCGTCCTTGAAAGCAGAATCTGTCCTGTATGCTAGGAAAATACTACAAGATTATAGTTATTTCCAATTTCTCATCTCGGTTGTCAAGTCTGCCACATACATGCCCTTTTGAATTAAGCACATATCGTACCTTCTTGCATTCTGAAGCGACCGCAAACTAAGAAAATAAGGAGGACTTCAACAGTTGAGAGAAGTGCTAACTTCCCATGTCATTTATTTCTAACATGTTTATACTCACTCTATTTCCTTTATTGCACTTAAAGATAGATGGAAAAAGTGCATATGTTTCTCGGTGACTATTCAGTAAATAATCGTTGCAAGTGAAAAGAAAAATTTAAAACTTTTAGTGGAGTTGCGCACCCGTGGCGCCATGGATACGCGTGGCGAAGGTGATTTTCTTCAAAAAAAGCGCTACTGTAGCTATCTTTTTGTGCAAGTGCACACAACATAAAATTGCCGCTTTTGCCGTAAATGTGCAAATATTGCCAAGATTATCGCAATTGTTGAACTAAAGTTTCTTCGCGCCTTTGAACCGCCATGGCTATGCATCTGCGCGCGCAAGCTAAGGACGTGCAACCAATGGGAAAACAGGGAGAAACACGGTCCTGCCACGAAATAAACATTGCGCATCGGGACCGAAATAAACTACGTCAAAAAAACTTAGCCCGACTAATGTGAAGCATTGGTTGTGCCCTATCAGCTTGGAACACAGTTGAGCATGAGGGCTCATATCCAACCACGCGCCGCGTACGCGACCGCCTCGCCTAGGTTACATGGACATCCACTCTCAAAAGATAAACCATGAATTTCCTCAAGGCGATCGGAACATTTTTGAGCCCCGAGAATGCTCAAAAATGCGACTTTAACAAAATTTTAAATCCATTGCCCACAACAACCATTACTGTCACATCAATAACAAGATTTGTTAAGATGGAATGCATTCTCTGAGTTCAAACGATAAATCAAAATTGATTTGTGACCGTGAAGAACCACTGCGCTATTACTTCTTCAACTGTTTTCGTTACAATCAGTGTCATTGCGCGATTGGGACGGCCGCTCCTGAACCTGTTCCGATCGCCAAGCCACAAACACACACACAAGACACCACTCATCACCAAATCATTTGCCATGGAATGTGGCGGATTCTTCACTTTGCATTCTTTATCGTATTCTTAAGAATTAAATTGAATGTTTACGCAATCTCAAGAATTCTGGAGATGCTTTACATAGAAGAAAGTGGATCTTGTGATTGCTTATGAATATTGTTACCAATCTCAAATCCTTTAATCATTCTTTTCACCCACATCTTCATCTCTCCAACAGAGCTCTTCGCGAGGTGGCTTTCTCAAAAATACAAAAAAGCGGAGTTCCTCCTGGCTTTCGCAAAATTTTACGAAATCCTTTTAGACCTTCATCCGAATCAAATCGACTAAAATGTCGCCTAAAAACATAATTTCGGACCCACAAAAACGAAATCGCTTTTCCTTTTTGTCCTAAAAACAATATCCAACTTGCTTATAAGCCACCTGTGAGGGCCCTGCTATCTAAACATCCAGACTCTGTAAAGAATGGCCGATAATCCTAACCACATTGCTATGAGGTTTTTGACTGGTACAAGATTTCTGGGCTTCTCTAATACTTCGAAAAATGGTAAAAAGTAGTTCTCGTGGATAACAAATGTTTTATCCAGTTCTCTTGAACAATCTCCTCCTCATTCTTATTTCATACTTTTATGATGTACTGTCAAGTTACCGAATTTTACCTGATGGACTCACAACTTACCGAGCGATCCCATAATGCTATTATAGATTTAGCTGTATCAACAAAAGGAGTGGGAGAGAGTGATAGGGGAGGAGGAGCGATATTCCACTAAAAAGATTTTTTCCTTCTCTTATTTCCCGAACTTCGTTTGTTAACAAATCACCCACTGCCCTTCTTTTAGGTTTACGGTGGGAGCTACCGCTCAATTCTTCGGAAAAGTCGCAATTGCGGAAAATTTTCAAAATGTGTAGAATTTTTGATAAACTTTCGAAACCGCTGTGGACAATTTTCGCATCTTTATAGAGCACTAGACTTTATATTCAGATTGGAAATTGAATAGTTTGGGAAACTGCGGTCTGAATATCTATTTCAATTTTTCAAACCAAGATTAAGCACCACATACTTTAAACTCTATTATCAAAGCTAACCGGTGCAAAAATCGACAATTTCCCATCCAAGAATGTCTTCCCTTATCTGGCATTCAAAACTTTCTTGATATCATTTCTCTTCCAGGCGGTAATGTGAGCAATTACGTTTCACCTACTCCTTGTATTCAATCAATTCTTGTTTCAAATCACAGAACTATAATTCAGCCACAGTTTATTTTGCTTGTATATCTAATACAGGCTGAGAACAGAATAGAACTAAACTTTATACCGTAGGGCACTCTATGTTCATTTGTGTTGATTATAGAATCAAAAAATTTGAAATTGCCAAATCTAGATTTCGCGCTTGCTATGATTAAAAGACAAATTTAGTCTGAAAATTCAGGGCATCCTTTTTCTAACATTTTCCATGTAAATTTCGCATGGCTTTCATTCTTTATGTGGTAGCTTCCTAAAAATATTGTGGCCTAGCGATCTCTGCGTGGTGAGTTCTGAATATTATGGGTAATCATGGGTTCATTCGCACGCAAACGCTAAAATCACATTCTCCTCCTTAGTTCCAGTAAATTCTAATGTGCCTAGAGCGGAAAGCTCGTCCATCGGATCTGCCTTTCAGGATTGAGCTATTCCCCATCCATCAAAATTTTTGCATTTTTGCTATGGGCCAATTTGTACCGCTTTCAACAAAATTTTGAAAAAAAAAACTCCTTCATAACTATCGCTGTTTCGAGTCTTTCCGCTACTATTCAACTGCCCTCTGCCATTTCATTCCCTTCCCTTTATTTTCTCGTAAAATGTGTGAGATGTGCATCTAGAAGACTAAATATTGTGCTTTTATTTAACTTTCTGGCTTTTTGACCACTGCCTTCTTCATCGTTCGCAATTTTCAACAATTTTTGTCATTTTGTCTGGCCATAAAATTTATATTGAAGTAGGTGCGTAACAAGGCTGCAAAATGTTCCGGTTATTTCAAGAAATCGCTCTTCAAATTACTCTAATTTTTAATTTCAACAACAGCCATTTTTTTAATATTTTGAAGACTCACATGTCCTGCACTACTTCCAAACAATTGCCATCATACTCTCTCATTTTCTCGCAGAATCCCTAGCAAAGTCCCCAGCTGCAGTACGAAATTCTCAAAAAAGACAAAGCAATCTTCAAAAAATTCGTAACGTGGCATACATAAGGTCCGAGCAGCTATAAGAATTGCGAATTTTTTTCTGGGGTAATAGTCGTAGTCACATTCTCATCTTTTGTTCCCTTGTGCTACAAATCCATTAATCTTATTTAACGCAACTTTACAAGAAGTAATGAAGTGCAAAACACCTAGGAACTTTTTCCATTATTACGATTGTACAAACATTTTTTGTTTATTTTCAAAGCTAAATATAAGCGAGTTCGCTGATTTTTCAATCTAAAGTGCATCAAAACAGCTATAAATAAAATTTAGTACAAGCGTACATGCAAGCTTTCTCATCTATTGTTGAAAATTGAGAAAAAAATTGTGTTTGTGAAGCACAGCAAGCAATTTCGCACTACTGTCAATACCTATCTGACCGTACTTCCATTGTGTTTACAAATTTGAGTAAACAATTCTCATAATAAACTTAAAGTCCAAAACTACATCTCTAGGAGAAATTGATCGAGTTTTCCTTCCAGTCAAAGCATTCGCACCTCAAAGCAGTGTTTCCTTCCTCTCTTTAAGAGGTCCTGACACCTCCTTTTTTCCCTGAAACCACAGTTTACAAACAGAATTATCAACAGTGAATTTTGAGGTGTATGTCAAGAGGAGCGATTTTCTATTGCCAGTGAACTCCAAATAGCGCATTTTCAGTGTTTAAGAACGTTCTGGAAGCCTTTAAATTTCTGATGGAATAGGAAGATTACTGCATGGGCTAGCCTCTTTACAGTCTCCCTGAACTTTTAGAAAAAGTCATGGAGAATCACTCTGCTGTTCCGGACAGAGATTTCAACATCAAAGTTTCTTAATATTATTTGTTTTGTCCTAACTCGCAATGATGCTTTTCTTTGCCAGAACTGGTTCTGAGTGATGCAGCGCTGATCGCAGTGATATTGATTGATTTTATCAAACGAAAATAAAAATGTAAAGAAGAAGAGCCAATAATAATAATACTGGCAATAATAAAATATCTTTAACAAAAATTGAACAAGAGTCCCTCCAAAAATTCAATGAAATTTTCCAGTAAACGAAAAGATTATATTTAAATGTCCATCCCTCCTGCTAATTCTTTATCCTCCTTTCCCTCCCGAGCTAGGCTTAGATTAATCTCCTATATCTAGCCTTTTCACGAACTAAAACATTTGTTTTAAACAAACACATGTTTTTGCCCCTCAAATGAGCATTAGTTGGTTTTTCACCGCATCGAAATGCACGTGCCATACTTATGATTCGATTTGACTTTGTTTGCTGTCTCGCGCTTGTTTATCGAAAAAGTGTTGAATAATTTGCATTCCATGTTCCACTTACTTCTTTTAAGTACGTGTGACGTTGAAGCGGAGAATTTGGACATCATTTCAAGGTAAAGCTGAAAATTGAAAT